ATTGACATGCTATTTGTTGGTCTCTCCCATTCAAAGAAAGTGGGCTTTGGCCCAAATCTAAATGGTGTGCCCTAGACCTGCATTTCAACCTTTTAAAATATCGTTATGACTTCACAAAGAATCAGGTCTCACATTCAAATATTTGGGTAAATAATTTCCGTGAGGTGAGAGTGTGACCAGTGACCAGTGACCGTGTGAGCATCAACTGCGAAAAAAAAATCTCATCACCATGGAGGATAAAGGGAGAAAAGAAAATATGTTTTCTGTTTTTTTAATTTTTTTATTATATTTGAGAAATTTTAGTTTTAAGTTTATTTAAACATGAAATAAATTTTGTGATTTTTTATTTTATTTTATTTTATTTCCATTTTCGTGCAAGTAAAATAGAGTCTTTAAGGTGTCTTAAATGCCCCAATCGTGACTAATACTCTGCGCCAACAGGACTTCAGTCTTCACAGCCATAATTTTAGGTTTGTTGCTATCTAGAAAACCAAAGTTGTATATTTTTTTTAACAAAAACCAAACCAAAGTTGTTGATATTGAGCCACATAAGATTTAAAATATTCTAATTACTAGGGGAGGCATCAAATGGTCCTATTATCATCTCAGAGCTATATAAAGTACATATTGCTCTTAATAAATGTAGTCTTGTAAATGAGTTGTTAATAATAACTTTTTAAACTATTTTCTTTGGATACTCACACCGTAATCGCTTGCCAACTCAATTACCATAGGGAATTTAATGAGCAGTCATGTACCACCACAATTACCACACAATGGATATGTGGTCTCTGTTTGAATATGTATTCTTATACTATTACAATCAAATCATTTGATAAAACTATTCGAACCAATGCATTAATTTCATAGTATTTGAGCATTAGGTTAGCTGGCATGCCCTAAAGCTTAGGGTAAGTAATACATCTGATTAGATTAGATGTAGACGTAATATAAATTTGGATCATCCATCTTTATTACAGTAAAGTACAGAATTCTTTCCAAACGAGAAACCAAATCCAAATACATTGGTTTCTTATGAATTGTTCGATTCTTGGTCCAAATCGAAAATTCTACAATTATTTTAATTCATGAAATCATTACATTATAAGCTAACCAAACAATGGTATAAAGTCAAAAAATCAATAGGCATGAGTCCATTTCTCCTCCCCCTAATTGTAACAACCCGAACCCATGGGTCCAAATCATTGACCGAGTCTCTACCCGAACCTGAAATCAATGAGGGTACAATGATCGTTTCCCATGCTCATGTGTGGTATTCAATTTATTACAGGGCTTAAAACATTTCAAAATCACAGCCCAAGAGGAGAGAGTCAAAACACTGGTCAAAGAGAGAGGGTCAATCGGCTGATGGCCCTTGGTCGGCCGACTGACTGAGATGGTTAGTCAGCCGAAACGATCCTCAAAGTTGCAAGCTCTTGGGACTTTGCTACAGTGGCTCATCAGCTGACTGATGTTGAGGTTCAGCCGGCTGATGAAGGAGGGTCGGTCGGCTGATGAAGAGGTTCGGTTGGCCGAAACAAGCTTTCTTAGGCCTCAGCTCACTGGAATGCCACAAAATGGTTGGTCAGCCATCTAACATGCCTTGTCAGCTGGCTGATGAGCCCTGGAATACTGCTTTGTGCAACCTGATAGCCCAAAAATCTTAACCCTCTTTGTGAGCTAGACCTAATATTCATTCAATCTCGAATTCGCGATAACAATGCATAATGTTATACAGCTAAAGACATCAATATCATATACAACATATGTTATCATTTCCCATTCATTATAATATGTCAATATGGTTTCGTGAAGCAGCAGGTCTCACATTCAAATATTTGGGTAAACAATTTTCGTGAGGTGGGGGATGTGACCAGTGACTGTGTAAGTATCAATTACGAAAAAAAATCTCATCACCATGGAGGATAAAGGGAGAAAAGAAAATATGTTTTTTTGTTTTTTTAATTTTTTGATTATATTTGAGAAATTTTAGTTTTAAGTTTATTTAAACATGAAATAAATTTTGTGATTTTTTATTTTATTTTATTTGCTTTCTATTTTCGTGCAAGTAAAATACAGTCTTTAAGGTGTCTTAAGTGCCCAAATCGTGACTAATACTCTGCGCCAACAGGTCTTCAGTCGTCACAGCCATAATTTTAGGTTTGTTGCTATCTAGAAAACAAAAGTTGTATATTTTTTTTAACAAAAACCAAACCAAATTTGTTGATATAGAGCCACATAAGATTTAAAATATTCTAATTACTAGGGGAAGCATCAAATAGTCCTATTATCATCTCAGTGTTATATAAAGTACAAATTGCTCTTAATAAATGTAGTCTTCTAATATTCCATAGGGAATTTAATGAGCAGTCATGTACCGCCACTATTACCACACAATGGATATGTGGTCTATGTTTGAATATGTATTCTTATACTCTTAGTTCCGAATGTTTACAATCAAATCATTTGATAAAACTATTCGAACCAATGCATTAATTTCATAGTATTTGAACATTAGGTTAGCTGGCATGCCCTAAAGCTTAGGGTAAGTAATACATCTGATTAGATTTGATGTGGACGTTACAATTTAATATAAATTTGGATCATCCATCCTTACCACGGTAAAGTACAGAATTCTCTCCAAACGAGAAGCCAAATTCAAATACATTGGTTTCTTATGAATTGTTCGATTCTTGGTTCAAATTGAAAATTCTACAACTATTTTAATTCATGAAATCGTTACATTATAAGCTAACCAAACAATGGTATAAAGTCAAAAAATCAATAGGCATGAGTCCATTTCTCCTCCCCCTAATATTATCACTACATTGATGTCAAGCAATTTTCTTATCTATGAAGGATGAAACCTTTTGTTTGAAGTAATTTTGTAAATAATACTATTAATTGATTTAGAGGGTATAAATTTGTGGACCTCTCATTATTTATTAGAGCATAGGAATTGGTGGGGTGGTTGGAAGGACAGTTGATTCCCTCCTCATTTAATCACAAAGTTCACCAATAAATTCCAAGATGGTAGGTCCTTTTCAAAAAGAGGTACCAAATTTAATGTTCACACAATCAAATAATGACAGAGTATAATTTAATTACTTACTAGTATATCTTTATTTAATTTGATAGACTCCCATCATTTGATTGGCCAAATACTTGCAACAATTATAATTATTGCATGACTATATATATTTTGATACAAGTATAATATTAAGGAATTAATCTAAAATTTTAAGTCACTAGAAATGTAACAATAAAATTGCATAAAAATAGATTATAAGGAAAAATAATAATTAATAAAAAGATTATTGGTTATCAAGTCAAAGCAGTTTAAAAAATATATATATATATATATTGGTTGGTGTACATAATGATGGTGATAATTGGTGGAATTTATGATCCTATATTTTGACGAGGTAAAATGATGGTCTAGAAATGGAAATGTCATCATTTTTTAGACACTGTAGGGAAACAGCTTTTCAATGAGACACGGGACCACAACCCTTTCTCATTGATTTAATTTAATTAATATTCCATTATTTACATATATGCTCACCGCTGACCACTTTCCTTTATTTTCTCAATTGTTTTTCTTTATCAAAAGTTCTAAAAAAAGAGTAATATATATGGTATCAAGAGATCTGATTTACTTGGCAAGGGATGTGAATTTTCTTTATTAGTTGCAAGATTGATTAAGAAAAGTTATAATAAAATTTTATTTTATTATTATTATTATTATTTATTTTTTTAAAAAAATTTAAAATACTTAACCAAAATGAGATTAATGCGATATATCATGTGAACTCTACGTAAAAATACTAAATAATTTTTTTTTTCCTAGTTGGTACTCACACACACTTATTTCTTTTGAGACTTGAAGACCCCTGACTTTCTTTTAGAAAGTAAGAGACTGATATAACTAAGCCACTAGCCTGTTGGTAAATACTAAATATTTAGTTTAAATTTGCATTATTTAATCATCATAAACTTTCGATCTCAATGTCTCTCTATATGAATGGCTAATAATGAAAATTTATGATTATTATCAAGAGGGCAACCTCTCATAGCATCTCCAATAGTTGTCTATTTATTTATTATTTATTATTTTTTTTTGTATAAATCTGATGTATCATAGTAGATTTGTACGAAAAAAAATTGGACTAATTATTTTAACTCCAACCATTATTTTATATTTTTTGTGTAAAAATATATGTGTCAATAACAACTAATCACGTGTCATGCCCAAGACCACGGAGAGAGAAAATATGCTCATGTGACCGTGTTAAAGTGCTGTAGAAAATACACAACAATTTTATACATTACTGAAGTGTCAATGTATCTTAACATACTATTGAAGATAAAAAATATTAATACAAAATGGTCTTTTAACATACTGCTACAGATGCTCTAATAGCATGAATTACCCTATAAGAAATCTATGAAATTAATTTAGCCATCAACGGTCTAGATTCATACAAAAAATTCATAAGTAAACATGGTACTTAGTGCCCGTTTGGTATTGTTGTTGTAATGATAAAGTGTTTTTATCAATAAAGTTGTTATAAAATTGTATAAGTAAAAAGTATGTTAGCCATTTGGTGATTCATTTTAAAAAATCCTTTTTATAGTAAAAACATTTTATATATTACTATTTTGACTATATTACCCATAATAAACATGTGTTTTTTTTTTTTTTTTCATCACCAAACTTATCTAAATACAATTTTTCAAAATTAAAAACTCTTTTAAGTTGTTGAAAAGCAATCCCAGATGAACTTTTAATCATATTTTTTATTTATGTTTTGACAAGTAAATCTTTAAATTAATATGGATGCAAAATTTGGAGGTTAGTACTATCTTGATCGTATCCTGAAACCATTTATTAATGTACTATATATTTGAAGCCTTCAACGTGCACATAATAGAACCATAAATTAACACACACACAGACACACACTCAAGAAGCTCCATAGCTAGCTAGCCACCACAAAATGCACAATGGTCATGGCCATGAGCTTCCACCAAAGTTCCTCCAGATCAAGAAGAAGGAAAGGTCCAACAAGGCAGAGTCATCTTTCAGAGTGCTATACTATGGAGGAAACCCTAGTTCAGTACCATTCAAGTGGGAGTCACAGCCAGGTACCCCTAAACACCCTACACTAAATTCTGATTATTCCACTTCTCTCCCTCCTCTCCCTCCTCCACCTTCCTATCACTTCGCTTCCAAGCTGATCAAGAAGTGTCCTTCAAAGTCCAATTTTCTTCGCACCATCTTTCCCAAGATTTTTCCCAAGAAAAAACATCTAGTGTTGCCACCACTACTCATGTCGTCGACTTCCGTGTCCTCGTCATCATGTTACTCACCATCTACTCTGACGAATTCATATGACGAACATAACAGACGTCGCAGCTGCAGCTTTTTATCGCGTTCAAGATCAACCATCCAATTCGGGATAGATGGCAATGATGATGATCAGGAGGCCACTGGATCGTCTACTTTAACTTTGTGCTTTGGTTCTAGACACGGAATTTAACTAATTTCCAGAAAGCTTGGAGGCCACCAGTAAATGTGAAGAACACATTGCCATAGATATATCGTATGCTATGAGTGAATATTTGCCATAAAATGATAATAATATAAAATCCTAATTTGTTATTGATGGGCTGAGCTTAAAGATTTTTATTTCCTCTCGATAATGTGTATATATATTTTTAATGTTATTTTAGGTTGCATAGAATTGATGTATTGAAATTAGAATTTGAGAAAATTGAATTAAAATTTAGTTTAAGTTTAAACTAATTTTTCTCCAATTTTACTTTTAAAATTAAATTAAATTAAATTATTTCCAATTTTAATTCACCATATGACCAAACATAGCATAAGCATATTAAATTCTAGTTTTGAGGGTGTGATTGTGAATATGCTTTGTATTGGCAGTGGGCTGCCAAAACCAAGGAACATGCATATAATGTATGCTAACAACCCATGCTAGCTAGTTGGAATCAAATCCATGATATCTACTTTTGTAATATTTGTGGTCCATTTGGAGTCAATATCACAATTATATATATATATATATATATCAATATTCATGTGCATGGTAAGATGAATGTATGATACGAGTATAGATAACTTATTATAAATTTGATTGCAGATTGGATGTGTAGCTAATAGAAACCTAATCTTGAGATGACAACTGCAATTTCACATGCCCACTTAGACAAGAAGTATTAGCTGTACTTAACCATGAATTGAGTGAAATGGATCAAATTCATGAGGCCATATGACAAGCAAGGAAAAAAATACAGAAAAAGGGAATAATGTCCAATAAGGAATGTTATTCAATTTATTGTGGCAGAAATGAATATGACCAGACACCATCTTCAATTTCTCCATTACCTGTTGCCCTAGTTATTTCATTCACCAAACTTACATACCCAGTTTTTTTTTTTTGGGCACGATCTTTTCAGTGAAATGTTATGGAGGAGACTTCCCGGAAAGAAAAAATAAAAGAAAAAAAAAAAGAAAAAAGAAGAAGAAGAAGAAGAAGAAGAAGAAGAAGAAATGTTAAGGAGGAGACATGCCGATGGGTTGTGTGGGGACCTTCCATCATTGGATGAAAGATTCACACTATAACCATTCTCACATACATATTAGGTGTGAATGATTGTCCAAGGCATATTATTTTTTAAGGACAATACTATTCGGACCTAATAAACTGATCTTATTCAATGCATCAAGGGATATAAATCCATTAGCCTCCTATTAGGCCTAAGATGTTGGCTCGTGTAGCCAAGAAATCCATCGTAGTAAGCTCTGCCGACTAACCATCGACAGTGAATTGACCATCACGAACACAAATTTAAGTACAAAGCTGAACCCTCTGTAGATGTGGTTCAGCCACGACACCAAGGGTCAAGTCAAACAGTCAACACTTTGACAAAGTCCACCTCAGCAAGGCAAGTGATAGTCGACCATCGGGTCTCAAAACTTTGGCCTAACATTTGGTCGATGGTCCTTGGGCCTTGGGCCTTAAACCACGAGCCGACCTCTTCACAGTCGGTCGATGGGCCTTGAACCCTTATCCGACCTCTCCACAGACGGTCGACGAGCCTTGTAACCTCGATTCGATCTTTTTATAAATTGTCAATCGATGGGCCTTGAACCTCGAGCCGACCCCCACACAACTGTCAATCGACAGGCCTTGAACCTCGATCCGACCTCTTCACAAACTGTCGATCGATGGGCCCTGAACCTTGATCCGATCTCTTCACAAATTGTCAATCGACGGGCCTTGAACCTCGATCCGACATCTTCACAATTTGTCGATTGACGGGCCTCGAACCTCCATTCGACCTCTTCACAAATTGTCGATCGACGAGCCTTGAACCTCGATCCGATATAGCCACAAACCATCGATTGATGGGCTTTGAACCTCGATTCGAGCAACAAAGAGTTATGGTAGGGCTCTTCAAGCGACATTAGGATGTAGAAGGGATTTTGGAATGGAGGATGGAAAATCAGCGATGTCTTGCCCACTAAGGTAAGGCCCAGTTTGAGGATAAGAGCAAAAGATAGCTGGAATAGTACAATTGCCTTTACAGCCTGCCATTTTTGGATCATTCAACAGGAAAGGTACACTTGGCATTTGATCCAGAAATATAAGAATTAGGGCAACATGACCCAAAAAGGGCATGACCCTGATCCGTTCTCAAGACGGAGGCCTAACAATGTACCACCTGAATGACCTAGGGTTATAAAAAGGAGGCAGTGACGAAAAAGGCGGGTAAGAACTGACGGCAGCTTCTTCCCTACCATTGCTCCAATTCTCTCACTAGACTGGTTTTCTTTCCCTTCTTCCACCTTTTTGCATTCCTCATAATTACTTAATGATATATTCCCAGACCTCTTTTGACTATTCCTGGATTGACGAGAAACAGGTATTTACACCCTCTTAGCACCAACATAAGAATCTGTAACAAATGTCATTTGTCCCACATCAGATCCGAATGGAAAAGTGATTGGGTATAAATGGGTGGGTATGCAGCACTACCCAATAATTTAATATTTTGAGTAAATAGGTAAGTGCCCACCTGTTATAATTAGTATCAGAGCCAAACTCAATCCTTGATCTGGTGTCACGCCAAGTGCCCTGCCCGGAGGGTGTCTGGGTTTGCAATCCTGGTAGGAAGGGTGGCCTGAGCCACAACGAGGGCGTTGCAAGCTTGGGTAGGGGAGAATGTAACAAGGGTCATTTGTCCCACATCGAAAATGGATGAATATGCCGCACTACTCAACAACTTAAGCTTTTGAGTAAATGAGTAGCATTTTTTGGCTTATTGGCGAAGAAGAGGGTATTTTGGACCGAAAATAGTTTGGTTTGCAATATGTTAGTGGGTTGTAGTAAAATTTATCTCCAATGTGATAAACTACTGTACACTTCAGTCTCCAGTGAGAGAGAATAAAAGCCCATCTATCTTTAAATTTTGTGTCCTACTGGATAGAAGAAATTAGGAGTGATAATATTTGACACGACACACTAACACGACACGAACACGATACGAGATAAGCGGGTTAGGATTTGGGCTAATCGTGTTCGTGTCATAATCGTGTCGATACGGATTGACCCACTAACTAAACGTGTCGTGTTCGTGTTTGACCCTATAAACACGATTATGATACGATTAACCCGATTAACTAAACGTGTCAGATAAACGTGTCGTGTTCGTGTCAAAAATGAGCTATTTGGCAAAATATGTAGTATTCGTGTCGAAAATGACTTAAATGTGTCTTTTCGTGTCGTGTTAAGTCTTGACTCATTTATTAAACAGGTTATGCGTGTCGTGTCGTGTTACACGTATAATAATTGTGTCGTGTTCGTGTCAAGGGTCTTAGATACGATTAATAATCGTGTCGTATTCGTGTCAACCCTAATCGTATCAGTGTCGTAATTGTGTCGACACAAACATGACACGTCAATACGAATTGCCACCCCTAGAAGAAATTACTACAAAATAGAAATAGCCGGATGGGACATTTGAATGGACAAATATGAACTTGTGGACCCATTTCAAGCCCATATGATGAGAATGCTCAAGATCCGAGTTTTTATTTTCTGGTGAGATATGACAATATCTCATTAATTAGCATACAGTGTCTACTCAACTTGTGGGCCCATTTCAATCCATATGATGATGAGAACAAGATGTAATATTTTCCTGATATGACAATTATCTCATTAATTAGCGCGCGCGCAAACACACACACACACACATATATATATCTATTCAGAGGCCAGGTGTGTTTAGGGTGATTTGAACCTCTGACTTGTAGTATGTCAGCTTAATTCCAAGCTAGCTTGACTGCAAAAACAATAGTAGTTAAAGATGGTTTAATTTTTTAATTTTGTAGGTTTAAAAAAGAGTTCAATTAATTCTGATCCGGTTCTGGTGTAACGGGACCAAAACCGAGTAATGTCTCTTTTAAAATTAGTAATCTAATAATCCCTCAATTCCACCTAAAGAGCCCTTGACCTGTTTTTTTTTTTTTTTTAACCGCAACAACGAACATTAACATATAATTTTAACACATAGTAACATATACTTACTAGAGAGAGTTAATATGCACCCTAAACCGACCAAACTTGCAGCTAAAAACATCAAAAGTCTTAAGTCAATATTACATGATTTGCTTACATAATATGGTCTACAACCCTTCATAGTTTTCATACTTGTAACCCTAAAGGAGATGATCCAAGGTTTTGGCCTCCATTTGAACACAAACCTCCTTCACTTCAGTGGACTCCCTCTTGTACATATATTTACTTGATGCCCACCAAAAGGCCCCTAGGTTGAGAGTAGATATGGCCAAAAGGAACCCATAGTAGTAATCCAAGTGAGAGTCATTCAAGTTGTTCCCAATCCAACTCTTCCCATCATTCCTTGCTGTAAGTTTATCCACCATTGTCACTAGAAAGCTATTCAAGAAGTTGCCAACACCGATCCCGCTGGTGAAAAACGTCGTCCCAAGGCTTTGCATGTCTTCTGGGGACTGGTCATAGAAGAACTCCAGCAATCCAATGGCATTGAACACATCAGCCACCCCTAGTAGAACATACTGAGGCAATAGCCAAAATATATTCATGGGGACAACTTGTTTAGGTCCTACTATGTGGTGCACTCTTATGACATGCATCCTCCTAACTTCCACAGCATAAGCAATTGCAATGGCTATGATTTGGATCACAAATCCAATGCCAAGCCTCTGAAGCAGTGTGATCCCCCTAGGGTTTCCGGTCCTCTGACGCATGAGTGGCACGAAGTAGCGGTCATACATTGGCACAGAGAGTAGCATGGAGAGGGTTACAAAGCTTCCTAGGGATGCTGCCGGGATTTGGAAGTTGGAACCCATGTGTCTATCCAAGGTGGTGCCTTGTTTGACAAATAAAGTGTTGATTTGAGCCCAAATGGTGCTAGGGATTAAAGTCACCATCCATATTGTAAGCATCCCCAAAACAAGCTTGGCTCCTTCCACTTGAGTCACTGTGCAGGGAGGCCTTGACCTTGAGGCTTCTTTGATTGCAGCCTTGTCCAAGAACCTGTGGAAAGAATTAATGTAATTCGATCATTCACTTTCTACGACTGAAATACCCTCACATTTTTCTACCAAAGGATATACTGAATCCAACTATTCATATTGTAGTGAGCTGGTTTAATGAGCCAAGAAATGCTACCGACGTAGTAGGATTTGATTATTTGTCAACCGTTGGATGGGATGAGTTTCACTTGCATTTCTCTTAATCAATAAGTCTACTGAAGAATTCCCAATTGAAAGTCGTATATATCTATTCATGCAAATGCCAAATATAGTTTGCATGTGTAAGATCCCGTATGTTGCAATCAGAAGGGGGTCCATGTTCCAACCATTTTCAATGGACCATTAAACATACATAAATGTAAAATTTGTGGGTTCCACCTCTAACAAACTAATCAATCAGATGATTCAGATCTCCGTGGGCGAATTCAAGAAGATGGGGACAGATAGAGAACGATATCTTCTATTGAATCAGAATGTTGTTTGCATGTGCTGAGGCGTAACGATTGAGCTAGAAGTGGTCCATTTATAATCCATCTACATGGGGACCAAATATTGGTTAAAAGATTGTTTCTGCTTCTAATTACATTTCTACCATTTCCATCCTCAGTGCAACATATGGACTGTGGATGACACTAGAAGTTCAGAACGTCGGATTCGCTGAGATTACCCACTGCAGTAAAATAAATTCAGGGTGATGGATAAAACGGACCAACTAATTCATATGAACACCCTGACTACTTTAAAAGGTTAGCTACATTTTTTTTCCCCCCTAGTTAAGGCTAGCTACAATTAGAGAGTGTATAACTAAAATATTCACATCATCAAAAAATTAAGTTTTTGAAATTTATATTAATGATGGACTTTAGAATTAAAACCTTTTCTCATTTTTGGTGAAAGTGCCATTGGATGGATTGTAACTCAAGCTACTAGAGACTATGTAACTTGCGTGTTGATAATAAAAGAAGGTAAAGCACTAAAATTAATATTTGTGAGACATAGGATTGAAACCTCCATTGTGGTTAAAGTAGTTACAGAGAGTGCTACTAAAGACTTTATAACTTGAGCATATATATTAATATTAGACAGTGTTGAAGTTATAACTTGAGCATATATATTACTATTAGTAATAACTTTGTAACTTCAGTGTTCAAATCAGCTTATGTGACCAACTTTAGGATTAAACCCTCTTTTATCAGGCTTAAGATTTAAGGCAGAGTGCTATTGGAAAAGTTATATAGAGATTAACTTAAGTAGTTGTATCACTAAACTGGCAAAGTGTTCAAATTAAACCGACAGGAGAATTCTCTCTACCACTACCAGGCCCCAGGCCCTTTGGCCTAGGAAGTATGACCTCCACCTCCACAAAGGGAAGGACAAGGCTTCAAGCCCCTAAGTGAGGCAACCAAGCCTTTTTCCCAACTATTTGGAGTTGGCTACATGAATTCTATGTTTTCATTCCGCTCTATTTAAGCCCATGGCCTCAGTCAATCCACATGCTATCATATCTTTCCTTACTAACTCTACTCACGTTAATTGTGGTCTTTCTCTCCCCTTAGTATTACCCTCAACGTGGACTATGCCGCTTGTCCTAGCTGGCACACTTAAAAGGCCACCTTTGCAAATGTCCAATGGGGCAAATTGGATGCATCTGTTGCTTAGTTATCAATTAACCAATGAAACTAAATGGAAACCAATGGGTGGATTCCTAGACTGATCCTTTATGGTAGTACTATTAATTATTGTTATCGCTCTAATTTCCGAGGGGGACCCTCTTATTAATGGTTGATTTTGTACCTTGATATAATTCAAGCCACAATGTGTGTTGCATGTAGGTAGGTTTGGTCATGAGAGTGTGGTGGGGCACACCATTCCATTGTGATATAATTCAAGCAACTTGGACTGACAATTCATTGAAGAAGATTAAAAGGGAGCACTTTGAGCAGTGCACATGGCAGATAATTAATAAACGAAAGGCTAACGAAAATAATAGAAGGCACTAACTTGGCCATGGCACAGGAGATTTCCTAGTTATGCTCATGAATTGTGAGGTCCCCTACCAGGCCACCTGCTTTGCACCAAGACATTTAAAATCAAGGACAATGGAATCTTTCTTTGGATTGTGTCCTTGAGATTGATGATGCAGATTCTTACTTATGTATGCATATGAATTGGGAGGTTTCCTACCTCACAATTTGCTTTTGCACCAAGGTATTTGAATTAAAGGACATGGGAATCTTTCAATGCTCCTATGACCATAAGGTCCATGACTCCAAATTAATTAGATATACACGTGTGTGTGTGTGTGTGTGTGTGTGTGTGTGTGTTGATTATGTTAGATATAGTACTGGATTTTGCATTAAGTTGATACACAAGCTCACACAAGTGGTTTTGTGAACTGTCAGCTGAATCCAAACTCCTGCTATTTCAATAGTTGGAGCTTAGATCAATTTAATTGGTAACCCTACTTTATTTTGAAAAAACAAATATGAAAAAGAACAAATTAAACAAAAACCTGGATGTAAAAGTAGTAATGGCAGTGAAGCTTACCTAAAAACAGGGGTGTGATGGACCTGGCGTTTTCCGCTGTTAGTGTAATGTTGTGCCTCAAACTCTTGAAGCTCAGATGGGTGGCTAGGGAGCTCGAGCCTTCTATTGGCGAATGCAGCGATAGGAACTCGAAGAAGGTCCCCAGCAGGGCTTTTGGATTTTCTAACTTTGTGCCTGTACATTGGGGTACCAATATAGAAGATGATTAGGGAGAGTAGAATACCAGCTGTAGGTATACCATACCCTAGTCCCCAACCCAAGTTCTCTTGGATGTAGACAAGGCCAAGCGTGGCGACCAATGCTCCTATGAAGGAGCTGAACATCCACCAATTGAAGAAAGAGACCTTTAGCTTTTTCTCATGTGGGTTGAAATCATCAAATTGGTCTGCACCAAAAGTGGAAATGTTGGGCTTTGTCCCACCAGCCCCAACTGCTATGATGTATAGAGATGAATAGAAGAATGCAACTTGTGAAGTAGAGGCCTTGCTACAGATTCCATTTGAACAAGATGGCTTCAAGAATTTAATTGAAACTGCCATTGTCAGCAGCACCATTCCCTGTTGAGATGATTTTAAATGAATTGGTTTCTTAGAAAATCATTGAAAGAAAATTTAGCTAGGGCCGGTCGGTACTACATATTTCAGTCATATTATTGGAATAACAAGGAAAATTGGTGACCCTACACTCACATGAAGAAAAAAATGTAACTATGTCAATCTTTGGAAAGATATGTTATTACCTAAAATTTGTTTTTCTTAGAAAGTTCTCTTGGAAAATATTTTCCCAAGAAAAATTTTGTCCAATAAAAAAATTCACCAGCAGAAATAAACCAACCTTTTATCATCAATAATATCCATGTTTCATCTATCTTGGATTCAATAGTACTGTCTACTTAATTGATGTTTGCATTGATGAGTACAAAACAAGTCATTTTCAATCAAACGAATCTCATTTTCAATCAATTTCAGCATTAAAAGAGAGAACCGTCTGCATATTTAAATTTGAAAAAAATCAAAATTACTCCAACGCCAACACAACTCATAAGCATGTGGATAACCTCGTTACAGATCATTTGCATGCAGTGAAACTGGTCATTCATTGGTCCCACGAAGCAAAATAATAAGATTTATTGGCCTTTTATAGTAGGTGAGCTGAAATATAGGCCAACCAGGTGGTGTAGTTTGTTTGGGAGTAGAGGTTATAATATTACTTAGACCTAACCATATGAAACGTTCACTTTGATGTCACTAGTAAAACATGATTATCATACAGATGAAACAAATAAATTTAAATGGAGATATTGCAACTTACCATCACATAAATGAGAGATGATACTGTGAATGTCCAGAATCGACCCACGTAAGAATCTGCTATAAAGGCACCAAGAATTGGCGTTAACCACACGGATCCTGACCAGTTATTCACATTCCTCACCGATGAAACAGTGTCTTCATGAAGCTGTGTTGTCAAGTAAACCACTAAATTGGAAGCTACTCCATAGAAGGCCATCCTCTCAAACGCCTCATAGCCTGCAAATTTGTAAAACAAAGAAAAGATAAAGCCATTTCATGTTAGTACATTTTGTAAAATACTATTATCAACTTCATAAAAGATTGATGTGAAACATGTTAGGAAACCTTTTTCTATAATGATACTTCTTCCTACAGAACCCTCTCAAAGACTTGCTATATGTGTCTTCTTGATAAATTTATCCATGAGTTTCAATCTCCAAGTATATATATAATTCATTCTTCTTTGAATAGTGTTTACTTTGAAAAGCTCACAAGGCAAAAAACCATGAATTTTTCAAAGCCTGAGGAATTCAAGAAAGGAAAAAATTATATATTAAACTCAATTATGAACTTTAGATTGAAGTCTGAAACTCTTTGTTATTTTGTGATGAGTGAGAACCAAAGAACAAAGTTGATAGCTAGGAAAGATATATGCATACCAACAAGAAAAGCGCAAGCCTTCCATGTGCCGGTTTTGGAGGAGAGGACGGGTTGTCCATGAAGATCGACAGTGCCATCTTGGGTGTAATCTTTGGCCTCCATTATAGAAAATACTGAGAGGTTGATGGTTTAGAGAGAGATGAGGATAAAAGAAGAAGGTAGCTCATTGGAGGAAAGGCTGCAACCTTAAGTATATATAAGTGGGCAATGCAGTCACTGGCTTACCGGAACAGCCGGTACAAGTTGTAATTAGAGTCCACATCCAAAATTTAGAAACCTTTAATTGGTATAAACACGCAGTAAAGCAACACCACTTAACCTTGCCGCATAAAATTCATGAGTAGTGGCAGGTTAAGTCAAGCTTAAAGTCATGACTTCCCTAATGTGCCTATGGAAGGATTAGTGATTTTCACACCTAAATACACACTTCCCACACCTAATGTACACTTTTCCATAAAAACTCGGATTGACAAACATAGGGTCACAGCTTCGAGTGTGAAAGTAGTCACTTGTGTAAAATAATACTCCGTATTAAAAAAATAAATAAATAAATAAATAGTTTAGGTAAGTTTTCGGTCTTCCCCTGCCAGCAGTACCCTGGTACATAGGCATGACATAGATTGAATGATATAATTCACCATGTCACATGGCAAAGGGAATCCCTATTGCTTTAACAACAACTACTAAATAAATAGAGAAAAAACAAGTATCCAAATGATTTACTAGTGCGTGAAATGAGCAAGAAAGCTTATTAGCAAGCAAGCACTATATTGAGTTTCAGTCTGGCACCATATCAAGCACCTTATTAGCACTTTAAAAAGGCAAATCACAAGTAATAGCGAGTACCCAATTCTTCTACGACCAATATATAAATATATATATATATATATATATATATATATACCATTTTGTAAATATAACAGAGGGAACCATCAATGGTGTAATGTATCTAGATGAGCAAGCAACCACAGTGTTGAGTTTCAGTCTGGCACCATATCAAGCACCTTATTAGCACTTTAGAAACAGTGAGTACCCAATATGATCAATGTTGTGTTAGTATTAGAACAAAAGTTTGCTATAAATAATCTCACATTCAAGAAAAATAGCATATAACTAAATAGAACATGAAACAGAAAATTCACTTCTTTTTTTAATCTTTTCTATTAATTTTCCGAGCAACCAATCAGGTGGTAACTGGTAAGGGAACAATAGTCAAGGGAGCAGAAAAAATTAGTGAAGAAAAATTACTGACCATACATACAGCCATATATATACAGGGTAGAAGAGAAACTTTGTGTTGTGTTTAGAATTAGTCCATGAGCTCATGATGTACCTAACATTGCACTGACTCTCCTCCATAGAGAGCAGAGTGTTAAGCTTATCCAAGAAATTTAAAAAGAAATATGGCCTTATTAATAATGTGAAAGGCATTTTTTTCACAATTGTGAAAAATGTGGGCAATAATTGTTTGCCAAAAGTAGGGTCTGTGTGGGAATGCAGGAATGGACATTGGACAGCAATGTTTATGCAGGTAAAGGTTATTATGCTCGTCATGATATCTAGGTCGTATCGGAATGGTGACCGGATCTTAAACCAATCCAATCCCTATGAAAATTGAATCCCATCCAATTCCTGAGAAGCTTTAATCTAAGTCCATCTGATTGGTTCTACAATTTGGGCTTTTTCTCTACCATCCAATAAATATTTTTTTCTCTTAACCACTGCGGAAGAGATGAGTTGTCATGCATTAACCAAGACAATGGTCAAAAGTTAAATTACATGATTCTTCTCTTCTCTATGCTACTCTGTTCTCGTTGTGTGGCTTAAATTTTGCTATTTTGGCTCTCACTTTTATTTGACTTAAGTCATACCTCATTATAATTTATAATTAATTTAATATAAATATAAAATTGAATAAAAAACTTATTATATTTGTATATATTAAATGGGGTGGGGGCTTAGAAATAGGGTTATAAAATATAAGGTAAAGTGCAAAAAAACCTCCTAAATTATATTTGAATTTACAAATAACCCCCTTCAACTATATTTTGTGCATAAAACTTCCTAAATTATCTTATTTTGTTACAACATACTTCAAAGACTATACTATATTTCATTAAATGACTATAATGTCTCTTCTTATTGAATTACATTCAATATATTTTTCTTATCTAAATAAATTATGAAAAAAAAAATCATATAATTTGATGAGATATTTTCCATTAAATTGACCTTTAATTTTTTAATTATTTATTTAAATAAAAAATTTAGTAGAAATATTTTTTAAAAAATTAATTAAAATTTTAATTTTTAATGAATATATTACATGAAAATAAGGTATTTTTTTCAAAAGTATTTTATTAATTTTTCATCAATATATTGTATGAAAAAGATGATATTTTTTTATCATAAAAATGTTTAAATTGGTTGTGATATGTTTTATTATAAATAATAAAGTTTTAATAATAAGTTAATCAATTTAGAAAATGGTAGATACAAATCTATTTATTTATTTATTTTCATTTTTATGTTAAATTGATACTAAAAATAAAATTAAGGTAAATAGAATAATTAATATTTATATAAGGGAAAACTAATAAAAATAATCTAATAAGAAGTGAAATTTTTAATGAAAAAGGGTAAAATAGTCTTTTGTGATGGATTTGTCCTTAATTGCAACGAATCAATAGTTCAGGGGGGCGGTTTTTAGTTCAGGGGGATTATTTGCAAAAGGATAATAATTTAGGAGGATTTTTTGCAGTTAACCCTAAAACATATTATATATATAATATTTGTATATATTATTAACATATTAGATCACATCGGAGATATTGATAACATTATTCATAAATCGATTTAATCCTTAGGGATTTCTTTTTTATGAATTTGCCACTAATCCAATGGGATAAAAAATCATTTCAATCTATACAGATTGGATCAGATTCACAAGTCAAATAAACATCCTTAATAGTCAGACAACTGCAAAGAAAGGAGAACTTGTACACCTCCTCTATATTTTCAAATTTTGGTTCTGATCATCTAATAAGATATTTTGGACTTGCTTAGTTTTTAACTCTAAAAACAAACTTTTTTATAACTGAGTTTTCATAAAACAATTTCCAGAAAACTGAACTAAACAGAATTTTTTTGTACAATTTTATATTTTCAATTGTTCTCAAAGTTACAAGTCAAGTAAGACCTTTTCACCTAGCAACTTCTTCCCACACGATCACAACTAGTATTTACCCTACTCCTCACACAAAGGATTGCACAATGTAAGGGATGCATCCAATCGTTTATTATACAAGGAAGTGGAGGTATTGTAAAACTTTGATAAGCTAATTAATGGGAGGGGCAATAGAGTAATCCCACGTCAAGCTGATGGGCTGAACTGAACTCTAGGGACCCAAATCTTTACTGTTTGGTGGGTCAATTGGGTTGGCACAAATGAGGCACATTTGAGCCTTTGCATGTGACCAACGTGGGCGAGGGTGTTCGAGTTTGACCGTTGTCCCAAAAAGTTGATATAGGACCAATTAGAGCAAGGGGTATTGATTCTCCCCATTTGTGAAAGGTTTCCAGAACGTCTCTACTGTCCTTCATAGTAATTTGACTAAAAGGCATGCTTCCGCTCACGTGCACAAACAAAACTTAAACATGCACTTGACACGTGTACCCTCTATTTGCAACTTTCTCTAAGTGTTGAATTTTTATCAACTACCAATATTCCTCCTTTTTTTTTTCTTTTTTATTTTTTATTTTTTAACTTTGTAGGGTACTCTTTAAATATGGGAATCTCAACGACCGTGCCATGTCTGAATCGGATAAAGTGTGAACACTCTGAACATGACATGTATTCGGTATTTAATAGTCGTGTTTATAATTTTATTTATTTGAAAAAAATTATTATTTTTTATAATTATTATAAATATATAAATAAAAATTAATATTTATATTAGTCGAGTTAGTGTATCCGACCAATGTCGGTGTCCGTATTTATTAGCTTCCAACATCGTGAGACGCATTTAATGTGAAATTTTAATTGTTTTCAAGCACTAATGTAATAGAAAGAAAATAATGTAAGAGATTATAAGAGTCTGTATTATTATTAAATAATAGTAATAATTAACTTGTCTAATACATCTATATCAATATCACCAGGTTTTGAAAGAGTTCGTGCACTATAAAACAACCCAAAGTATCTTGAATTATTAGCCACACAATGGACCAAAGGTCCCTATTGGGCAAATTAGTTGTGGAAGGCTAGGGCTAGCTAAGATATGGTCGAATCAGCATCCATTTAACGGTAGATGCTCATCTTTTTTCAATTTCACAAGAAGAAAGAATTCAATTAGGTCAACCAAATGCCAATGTCACCATAATACACCCCCACTGTGAAACTGTGTCGATTGGGAAATTTTGTCCTAACTCATGATAGAAACCATTCGAAGCTCATTATTTTCAACTAACGCCCAAAACTATTTGTCACTAATCGCTATTGGCCATGCTCTAAGATCTTTGCTTGCCTGTCCAACATGACACAAGATTGAAAATATACTTCAATCCATACATACGTTTGCAGTGACTTGCAGTGACGGAATCAAAAAAATTTACTCAAGGGGAGGGGGCAAAAATATATAGTGGGATATTTTCAAAAATAGAGTGGGGGCATTTTTTTAATTTTAACAAAAAAAAAAAAAAAAAGTTCATAGTGTAAATAAAAAAAGTTTAGTGGGGCCATTTTTTAAAATTAAAAATATATATATAGTTTGTAGTATAAATAAAAAAAAGTTCAAAACAATCGATTTTTTTTAATTTCTTTTTTCCTAGTTGGTACTTATACAAACTTGTCTCTTCAAGACTTGAACCCTGACCTCTTTTTGAGAAGTAAGAAGCTTATACCACTTGGCCATTAGTCCATTATCGATTGTTTATAATGTTCATAGTAAAAAATATCCTTGGTGAGTGACAGATGTCAGAGAGAATACGAGATAGACGATTACAGTGAATGTGCATGGGACAGTAGGGAGGGACAAAAAGAGAGAGTGAAAGACTGCTACTTTACTTTCTTTAAGATTTAAAAATATCAATAGGAGCAAAAATATATAGTGGGATATTTTCAAAAATAGAGGGGGGGGGCATTTTTTTAATTTTAATAAAAAATAAAGTTCATAGTGTAAATAAAAAAAGTTTAGTGGGGCCATTTTTAAAATTTAAAAATATATATAGTTTGTAGTATAAATAAAAAAAGTTTGGTGGGGGCGGACACCCCCCGCTTGGCCCACCTCATATGATATATACAAATGAGGTCGCAAGTTTGAGGATAATGTGTGTGAATAGTTTATTTTATTAATAATATCAAATAGAATGTGGAAATCTAAACCTACCTCAAAACTTCAAATTTTTCTTAAAGAAAAGAGGAAGTTTAAATTAAAAACAGATGAACTAGAAAATCGCTCTAAATTTTGATGCGAAGGGGACTTTTTGATTCTCAACAATCCTATATCCATGTGAATGGATCCCGATCTTCTCCTTTGTCGGAATTCATACCTATAAACATGGATCCGAATCTTCTCCTGTGTCAGAATTCATACCTATAAGCTTCTGTTTTGATGAACAGGACACTCAAAGATACCGCTCCGCACATGAGAGAATCATCTTTCCCTTGTGAATATATCTCATAAATGAATTCTGAATGCTGAACTGTGTTGCATGCCATGGAGGGCAATGGTGTCAGCAACAGCAACCCAACTTACCACACAATAGACTAGGCCCGGAACCTAGGTATAATTTCTGCCTTCTAAATTGTGCAAATGTAGAGAGAGATTGAAAGCTACTAGTTATTACGAAGGCCTCCACTTGCCCTTGGAAGTTCTCTAAATACTCATTAAAGATGGATAGTCCCCAAAGAAATAACAACCAACAAATTGATTGCTAAGCTATCAGGTACATTAAAAGCTATTAATTCCATTATGGAAAGGCCCCATGGAATATTCCTTTCTCTAGATACACGTTTCTGCGTCAGAAATTTTTTTCCCCATAATTGTCCGGTGCATGGAGGCTGTACGTGTTAGAAGGTCGGCACCACTATCGTCCAGACAACGGGAGGGGACTTTCGCCATATGAACAGAGAATTCAACATGTCCACTTGCAACTTGCAAGTCTTCAAAAGCCATCTTAATAGTTTTGGTGATGATATTTTCCAATGAGAAAATCACACTATGGGTTTAACTTATCTTCATATTTTCATTATCTGTCAATTTTACAGCAATGCTGGTTGACTAAATGTGTATGGGAAAGGGAATTAATCATGATTTTCAATATGGGAATTATGATTATTTTGTACCCAAAAGAAGAGGAAAAAGAGGCTAATAGTTTCATTTGAATTAGAGATGGTAAAACTTTTCAATTAACACATGGCTCTGTATATTTTAGTGGTGGTTCATTGCTCTTGCTTTTGTCCCCATTTGTATAATAGTTGAAGAATTATCTGTAATAGTTGCAGAAGCCGAGTGTGATATAATAGTTGCCCAAGTTGGTTGGCCATTGCAAATGGGGGACCAGAGCAAGAAGAAAATAGGGTGGAACTTTTTGTTTTCTTATCTTTTTGTTTTTAAGAATGCATGTGTGTGTCATCGGTGAAGAAAAAGCATCTTTTTGTAGCATTGGATAGTTTGCAGAAGAAAATTTGACGTTTGACTAATGGAGATGGTTTACGTGGGTAGAGACGTAACTTGGCTTAAAAATCTAACGAAAATGATCCAAACCCTATATAAACCTAAACATGGAGCTGTCACGCCAACGTCTGGAGACAATGCCATCCCCACCACACCATGAAAGGGCACAGACGTTTGCTGTAGTCAAACCAACGGCACAGTTGATGTAGCCTAAGAGCTGCATGCTCGATAATGGAGTCTACAACTTGCATGCCTAGACGAAAATGGAGTTAATGAAGGAGTCAACCGAGAGTACGTGGCTGCAGTAGCACGACAAGTGCACCAATGGCTTCGCATATATGATTCAAATTTCAAGTTGCCAGCTTTGAGGCCACAATATGGTGGTTGTTCCAAGCTTGATACTATACCGTTTTGGTTTGTCTCCTTCTATTGGTGACAAAAAGTTGTGGTTCAAAATGGGGCCGTGTTCATTCAGAAAAGACCATTCATTCATATGCTATTTCACAAAGCATTCCCACTATGATTGTGATCCAGAAAAGTTGCCACCTAGGTTGGTTCAGCATTGAATTAACACATACTAAATGCTCTCTAATAGTATTCACTGAACCTCTAAACATACTTTCACAATCATGTTTTGAGATGTTTTCAATTGAAAAGTGTCTTCTTCATTCAGGCCAAGTACCTTTCAAGGAACCGACTCGGAGAGATTTATAGTTTTCTTGCAGGAAGCGACTGAAAGAGAGATTTATAGGTTTTTTTTTTTTTTTTTTTTCAATAAAAAAGTTATTAATTATTAGAAATTGGAAAATTGCATCATTATATATAATATATAAGGTTGAGTTCCAAAGAGTGTCGCCGTCTTATTTCAAAATTCTGGGAGGAAAGCAAGTTTTTATGGCATTAACTTAGACTACTGAGCAAACAGAGTCATCCGCTCCATTAAGTCCCAAGCAATAAGCAGAATCTGCCACAACTGAATGAAAAATTAAGACAATATATAATACGGTTGTCATTTAGTTAAACAGCAGGAGCAAAAGCAAGTTATCAGTAGCAAGCAAATTGAGTAAAAGGGTACAGTAGACTCGGCACATTCAATAATGAATTAATGCGTGAAACTAAATTAGAATATCAGATTATCCATTTGACATTGACATCAATCCAGAGTCTGAAAATGCAGTCAATACCATGATCTCCACAACAGATCATTTCTATTCTTTGTTATTTCAAGAAGACAATCCAACATGGATATTATTGCACCAAAGTGGAACATACTTGGGAAAGGATTACCAAGGACTCAAATTGGCACATATGTGGTGGAAATACTAGTAACACAAGATTTCGTGAAGTATTTCATTCTAAGTATACAGTTAAGTGTCCTCTATATCCTACATGCAACACTACTTGTCCAACTCGTCACATGATACCTCTTCCTCCGGCAGCTCAAATTCATCAATCTCTTTAAAGTAAGCTCTCTGCTGCTCAATAAAATCTTGTGGAGCGGCATGTTCTGAAATATCTTGCTCTGGCAATAAGCAATACCTCTTCTGCAAAAACCGATTTAAAAAACTAACTAAACCACCAACGATGGAATATAAAAGCAATGCATTCTGGATCACAGAGAATGCATATAAGGGTTGAACAAGTATATGGCATATACCATGGGCAAACAACGCTGTAACATTGTCTATACAATAAGAAAGCACCATCTTAATCATTAAATATAATTCTCAATCAGACAATAAATCACAGACGCTTGTGGAAAACCGCCTTTTATTTGACAAACATAGCACCCTGCCTCTTGCACACAGCTAATCTGTTTCATGCAATAATATATAACTTTCACTCGTTGCAGTTCAGATATGAGCAGGGAATCACATGGGTCAAGAAATAGTAATATACAAACTGCACAAGATACCTCCACAACAGAATTTGAAGAGAGTGCAAGTATAGTAGGCAATCATAATTAAGAGTTCCAAAGTCCAAGAGAAAAGTAAATTTTGAATGCATGTCCAAAATAACAATGCAGGACCAGATAACTGCTTAACAAACCTTTTTATGCTTTGGACGAGGAACTGTGAATGATTTGTATAGACCAATATCATCAGATTTGTTTAATTCCTCCCTATGGGAAGACCAGGGAAACACAAGACATTATCAGTAAAAGTGGTAAACATGTTAAAAGAACAACGCATTACAATAATAGTCACTTTTAGACCTGAACTACTAATTATATGTAAGAAACCTGTCAATATATCAATAATGTGTACAGAAGACACGAGTACAATGATAGTATATAAAACCATAAATCCTGAATAAACAAAAAAAACTTATTGTTCAAGTATTACATGCTGTACTACTGATAAATTTAGAGACCTTCCGCATCATTTCCAGCAATTAAAAATCAAATTATTCACAAAATAATATTATTAGGTATGAACATTTTATATATACAATTCAGATAAATAAAATTCTCACAAGGTTTCAAGCTTTTAACTGGCTACTCATTAGCCAAACATGCTAACAGAGTTCAAAAAAGACTTCATCTGCCACAATTCCATTAGTCAAAGCTGACCATCTATTTTCTGTGAAAATTCAACATCCCATTAGACACTGATTACATATTTATGAATATATATAGTCATAGGACACTTTTCCGAAAACCCTCATCATACATATCAATAGCATGCCCCAATAACAGAAGGATAGCACCATCACAAATGAGAGAGAGAGCTCAACTGCAGGGTAACAAAAGCACAATGGATCAATGTATCCTACAGTAAAATCAAGTTATTATATGTCACTTCAATGTGTTCCATTTAGGTGAAATCAGTTCAATTCAGACATAGATCAGTTCAAATATTATATGGTAAAGATAAAGTTATTATGTGTAACTTCAATGTGTTCCATTTAGGTGAACATAAAAGAAATGTGAGAAAATCAGTTTAATTCAGACATAGATTTCTGCCACTTCTTTCTTCTTCTCCTTTTTCTTTTATTTGATCCAACTTTCATCACAATTTAAGATTTGAATTTTAACACTTAAGCGTATCATTGTAACAAGTTGGATATACATAAATATCACACTATTAATTGTACAGAAACAGGAACAAGCAGAAACACATATCTACTGAAACAAATCTACCAAGGGCCAATACTAATATGTACCAAATGAAAAATGTGCATGTGTGTGTGAATGAGAGAGAGAGTGTTACCTAATGTTCCTGGTTGTCTGCAAAGGAGGGCAACTAAAGCGTGCATCGATTGATTTCCCTTCATTCCCCATGTTTTCTATATTAAGGCAGACAAAGGACATAGCAACTGCCTTCCCTTTATCTTTTGATTTCTCCAGAGGAGAGCAACTAGAATGCATAGCAATTGCCTTTCCTATATCCTCTGTCTTCTCCAGAGGTGGACAAGCACAAGTAACAGCAACTTCTTTCTTTTTATCATTTGTTCTCTCCAAAGTAGTGCAACCAAAAGGCACAGCAACCGCCTTTCCTTTATCCTTCGATCTTTCAAGATGGCAATTAGAAGAGACTGCAATCGCCTTTCCTTTATTCTTCGTTTTCTTTGCTGTCTCTCTTTCACTGCAAACTACAAGAGACTCAAACATCTCACTGTTCTTATAACCTTCCAAAACGAAAAATAACATATATACATGTGTGTGTGTGGGTGGGTGTGTTAGTCCCAAAAACAGTGTACAATAGGACTCAAAAAAGAATCATACATCACAAATCAATTGAAAATCACATAACCTTTAATCTCACAAATTTAACAATTCAAATTCATATACTACAATTTAACATAGCTTCTTCATTAATTCCGAATTGAACCATGAACAACAAATAGATAAAGATGACAACCAACTAGAAACAATAGAACAGTATGAACAAATCCGAGGGGATGAAAAATCATACAATTCAAAACTAATTACGGAAAAAAGCAGTAACTCTTGATAACAAGTGACATTTTCAAAGACAATTACCAAAATGATAGCCATTGATGTTCAATAAACAGAACAAAACCACAAACCCTAGTGTTTCCAAATTCAAAATCAAGTCAATGGATCTATTTCTTAAATTGTCCGAAACAGTTGAAGCAAACCACAAAAACACACACACACATATATATTTAGAGAGAGAAAGTTTACCAGGGACTGAAGAGTGGGGTTTTCGGATGGTTCTAGGGTTGGCTGTATTGTTTCTGTCGTTGTTGGATGATCCGCCGCTCGTGAAGGATTTGGAGGAACTGTTGTCAGGTCCATTGGTTGATGGATTGTAGGGTTTCGGATTTGGTTTATTTTTCGGTTTTGACTTCGTAATTGGATTTGATTTTGGGGGTTTGACAAAGAGGGAAGACGAGTGGTCGCGAAAGGTGGTGGGATTGAGATTGGTTCGATCTGATAAGGGTTTTCTCTTCACTGCTCTGCTTCTCTCAGCTTCCATTGCTTTCCATTTCAGAGGACTCCGAATCCAAGAGAGAGATAGAAAGTACAGAAATTGTAGAGATAGAGGGCGGGAATGTGGAAGAAGCTAGGTCCTGGTTTGGCGGGAAATCGGTGAATTTGGAATCCGAGAACAGACGGAGGATCTGGACTAGACTGTGGATTATTCACGAGGCCCAAAGCCCAACCCAAACCTGGCCCATGAAGAATCAACCTACTCTTTACTCACATTGGCTTGACAGAGTACAACACGACACAAACACAATATTGAATGAAATCACGAATTTAAAGGTTAGAGGTAGATCCTTACTATTTTGTTTCTAAAAATTTATATTATTTTTTAATTAATTTATGTATTGAATTTCATTCTTCTAAAATGATAATTACAAAACCACCCCTACCATGTTTTAAAAGTGTTCATGCCTAAGCCACGTGTCCTAGTTGTAGTTGTGTTTAAGAAAGAAAAATAAAATAAATTTTAGAACACTTCTCGTCATGTACAACACGTTACATGTGTCTGCATGTCTGATATTTTTACAACACCTATAATTGAAGTATTAGTGCTTTCTAACCCACTCATCGTTTTGAAATCTCAAATGATTTACAAACTTAGAAGCACAAATTTACGATCAATGAAACTTGAAGCAATTAATAATTATGTTATAAATACTTTTTCGTTTTAATGTATAAAGATTAAATTTTTGAAAGAAAATGAAAATTTTTAATTAAACTTATTCAAATTTCCTTTAAAATCATAATTAGTGTTTTAATGTGTAAAGATTCAATCCCAAATTTTCAGATGAAATTAACTATTATATATTACTTTATCATTATTTCCCAAAAGTTAAGATGAAATTAACTATTATATATCACTTTATCATTGTTTCCCAAAAGTTAGTATTAAAAACATATTTAAAGGGTATCTTGTCACTTAAAAAAAAAAAAAAGGGGGGTAGTAAACCACTAATCTAAGGCATAGAAAAGAGTGTCCTAAATCCTAATTAGCATAAATAATGTGTTACGATCACTGTTATTTAAAGGATTCCACATGTTGTACATGCATGTGATATAATAATTAGAGACACTCTAAATGTCTCTGTAACTGTCAAAGATCAAAACCAACAGCTAGCACAAATAACGTGGACTACCTTTCAATTGGTGCACTAAACTGGGCAAGTGAAGCCAGTGGTTTCATCACTTATATTTTGGTGGGTTCAGCAAAAAGTGAAACAAACCAATGGGCTATCCAAGCATCTATAGTACTAAATTGGAACTCTATATATACCAATACCTGATCTTGCTTTCCACTTCAACCACCACTTCATTCAATCCTTACAATCAAGTCTAGTTTTTCTGGCTACATATATATATATATATATATATATATATATATATTTGAGAGAAGAAGGAAAACGGAAATATGGAGGCATTGCAATCTTGGGTTTCAGAACACAAGCTCACAAGCATTGGTCAGTCTTCACATTCTCTTTTTGTGTGTGTGTGTGTGTGTGTGTGTGTGTTAATTATATGATGGGTATTTGCAGGAACACTTTGGGCATCGGCAATTGGAGCATCACTGGCCTATTCGCGCGCAAAATCTCCCCTTAAGCCAAGTCTTAGACTCATACATGCTAGGTTAGACTTCATATCTATACTTGTGTAACTGTGTGTGAATTTACATACATACATACATACATATATATATATATATATATATATATAAGTCTATGACATTATGAATGTGTGAAACTTTTTTTTGTTGAAAGGATGCATGCACAAGCCTTGACACTGGCAGTGTTGTCTGGCGCCGCAGTGTATAACTACTATGAGAAGCAAGGAGAGAATGCTGCGAGTCCAAACACCACAACCATGGCTAAACAATGAGAGCTCTGTCTCTACATATATGTACCTTGATATTTAATGGTTGTATTACCAACCTAATTTTTATTAGGAGTTAATTAAGTGTTTTTTTTTTTTCCCTCTCTCTCTGGGGTGTATGTACCAAATATCCACTTGAGAGTTGAGACTCTCTGTTACATGTGGTTTTAGTCACTAATCACTACCGATGTTGTATTAAATGGTACAAATTTCAATGGAACTTCCTTCTGGATCAAAAAAATCATTTTATCATCCTTTTATGACAATTGCCTTTATTCACGAAAACATTAATAATATAATTTGGAGGTCAAATAAGAAAATACACTAACAAATAAACAGTGGATTTGATAATATAATCATGTATATTCAATGAGATTCTTAATATTACACCCCTAACTTTTTGTTTTGAAAGTCTTTTTTTAAAGAATTGTAGAATATGCCAAATTGTACCACAATTTTTCAATGTATGTAGAAGAAGTATTATCTAAAAGATTTTGAATTTGTGTAAAAAAATATACTGGGACAAGATTTGGCATGAACCACTGCTATAAATAGCCATTGGTGATTTCATTTGGAATCAATTCAAGGGTATCAACTCGAATGTCTATGAAGTGTATTGCGAAAGTAGCCCATCAAAATAATGTTTTTCTTTTTGAATATTTTCTACATTTTTTTCTTTTTCGGTTCATATATTATTAATAACGAAAAATTACATCACTTAGATATTATATGACGTCTATTTGAAACAGTTATAGTTCAAAATGAGCAGAACAGAACATATATCTCTTTCTTTACTTTTGCTCTTAATTCCGTTAAGAGCTTAGCTCTTTCTTTGTTAATTCCGTCAATAAATGGATGATTAATTTAGGTGATTGTGATTTTGATAATAAATTTTTGATTTATGATTAATTTAGGTGATTGTAATTTTGATAATAAATTTTTTATTTTTAAAAGTATTTCAACGAATTTTTTTTGTTATCAATTCAAAAATCACACATATTCAAACTTTGTTTTTACTGGCATTTATTTTTTCTTAATTCATATTAAACTTAATTTAATAAAACTGAAATTAAAAATAAGATAAGAATAAAATAGAGACTTAAATAGCACTAAAATAAAATTAGAAAATGGTAATGCTACTAAGTGCCTTTCTCAACAATCTCCTTATTAATCACCCAATTTTGAACAATCTCAAAAGTTGTAAATATTAATATAAAATCAGGAACTCATGAGATTGATCCGACTGTAAGTTTTTTCATTAAAATATACTCTCTCCTTGTAGCGGATATATTGAATATGATTTTAATATAAAAAATGAATTTTGATATAATAATTGGGTTTTACGCGTGTATTCTGCCAGCAAACTAAGAAAAAGAGAGAAACAAAGGAATTCATGTTATAAGATTGATCTGGACATGTTTAGAGGTATCTTTTTTGATAAATTCATTTAAAAAGTATATGCCTAAATAGTGTACATGTGTGTGTGTGTATATATAGATATATATATGTATTTGTATAACTACAACAAATTTGTGCCTAAATGCATGTAAAAGCAATTTTTTTTTTTTTTTTTTTTTTTCTTTCTCAAATTGTATGTTGGTGGCCAAAAGTGGTTCTTCTATATTTTTTAAAAACACAAGCCACCCTTATAGTTTTAAAATTGTGCAAATAAGGACTTCTTGTAAGCCCTTAGTGAATCAGGCGATTGTTGAAAGGCAATGATAACTCCTTCCTTCAAGTTCTTCAACGCCTCAATTAAGACGACTTTTGACAAAATAAATTAAAATATGTGTTGGAATTAGATGAAGGGAGTAACGCTAACTACACAAGTGGTCATCAGTCCCAAATAAACTTATAAAATAACAATGGATGGAACACTTAAGTACTAGCATCCATCTTATTTCATAAGTGAAATTCTTACACAAGTGATACAAGTACAATAATTGGATTATAACATAACTACTCCTAAAAAAAGAAGTACAATGTAAATGAAAGACTAAGTATTAAATGACTAACTAAATTGCAAAGAATGAAATCTTGTTGTGGTCGGGGACCTTTTGCACAGAGCCATCCAGCGTTAATTATAGAAGAGTCCATCAATGGTTGAAAACAGTTGCACCCCTTTTGAATTTAAACTCTTTGTTTGAATTCAAACTTGTCTAAAACTTATCCAAAGTTTTGTCTCTACGTGGAAAAACTCAACTGCAACTCCTCTTTTGAAGAATATATAATAAATAAATTATATCTCTCCAATTAGCTTATACCATGTGTTCTAAAGATAAATCTTGCATATACCAATAAATTATTGTTCACATGATCAATCATTATTTACTAAATTACCACCATAATTTTTATTGCATTATGAGGCTTCTTAGTTTCTGTCACATAGTGGCCTAATAAAGAATAAAATTTTATTTTAGGGTGCAAACAATGCCCCCCCAGTTCTTTGAAATGAGGGTAGACCAAAATTTTAAAGAGCTAATATGATGGATCACAATTTAAATAGTGATCAATTGCTCTTTATTCGGCTCTTCACGATGCTAATCAACCCCTTATCTTTTGACAGTCCTTCGACCGTTTTTTTCGATCAGCACCTTGGTGCCATCAGCTTTTCTCTACTTTGTTTGTTGGCATTCTTCCATCCACTTTCTGGCTACGACATATTCATCATAAGATCATTTTGAGCACTTAACCGATTAAGGGGCTGATAACACATCACCACCAAAGCAACAAATAAGTGGTTTATATGCAAAACTTAATTGTGTAAGCTTAATTGTTTTCAGCGTCTAGTTAATATCCAATTCTAGCACTACATAATTGACAATTTCAGCCAAAACTTACACATTTGGCTATCAATCCACAACCCGTAATTTTAATCGATCTAACTAATCGATTATTCTTTGGTACCCCAAGTGGTGGAAATTCCAATTTGTCCTCCAGGATCGAACGAAAATTCTTTAAGCCTCTTGGGACTTCTTAGGCTGAACGAGTTGCCCCCCAAGGCCAAGTAAGTCTTGGTTCAAAATTATATTATTTTTCAGCCTCTTTTGGTATTCTTTTGGTTATTGAATTCGACACCTGAAGACCATTAACCCTTTCCAGAGGCTTTTTCAACGCTTGACATATGTAAAGCTTGATACTTATCAATTCTGCAGT